GCTCATACTGTGCTAGGGATAAAGCAATCAATAGAAGAAACATGATCTGTGACTTTAGTAGGCTATTATTGTCTGGCTTTGGAAATGTCTTCATTGTGGAGAATCGATAAAATCATGTTTACCTTTGAGTTAGCTCTGCATATTATTATTTAAATGATTCTTACTAGATAGTAGTTACTTCGATTTTCATTAATTAAAAGAATCCAAAATATTTGGATAAGGTCTTGTCAGGGGGGTCCTCTGCCAAGTTACTATTTTTCCTTTTGTAATTAATAGTAATTTTTTAGGAAGATAATTGGAACTTGTATTAATGCAGCATTTTCTAGTTTACTTTCTGTTGCTGTGATAAAACACTCTGGCCAAAAACAACTTAAGGGAAGAAAGAGATTATTTGGCTTACTCTTCTGGGTCACAGTCAGTCATTGAGGGACGTCGAGGCAGGAACTCAAGCAGGAACTTGAAGTAGAAACCATGGAAGACCGCTGCTTACTGGTTCGCTCAGAGGCTCACACTTGCTAGCTTTCTCATACATACCTGGACCGCTTGTCCAGGGAATGGTGCAGCCCACAGTGGGCTGGGCCTCCCTACATCAATTAGCAGTCAAGACAATCTCCAACAGACATGGATTGCCCAATCTGATCTGGGCAATCCCTCAATTCTCAGAAGACCCTAGACTGTGAGAAGTTGACTGTTAAAACTAACTAGGACACCTCTTTTCCCATCAAACTTTCATCCTTTAGCCTTGTCAGCTTCTATTGATAATTTTCCTTTCCTTTTTGTGGGCAGAGGATGTACTGAGGTTTGAACTGAGGATTGAACTCAGGGCTCTGTACGTGCTAGGCAAGTGCATGCTAGCAACCACTGGGCTACATCCTTAGCCTCTACTGTTAATTTTCTAACTGTATTCTATCTCTGTGCAAGAAAGACCTTTCCCTCTTCCCATTATGTCACTGTAAGGACATACAGACTTTTTTGTAGTTCACTTGTTATAATTTACTGCTAAATAATTCCTTATTTACTTGACTGCCCCAAACTTGTCTCTACTTGTCCATCGGGATCCTCTGGATGACTCTTTGGCCCTTTGACCCAGCCTCATGGTTGCTTGCATGTTTCCTTATTTTACAGTACAAGAAGATCTCCATGATCCATCTAGTACTTTTTCTGGTCCTTGTAAGTAGCTGTTTCTTTAAGGCAGGCGCTCTTGTTCCTTTTAGGGAGAATGGAAGTATGAAATGAAGATCTGGTGCCAGAATGCTCTCAGTGGCTAGTGTGTCATTGCCTCCAGGGCCTCCCATTGGGTAGAACTAGGGTGTGTGTGTGTGTGTGTGTGTGTGTGTGTGTAGGGTTACAAAACCCACAGAAGTGGTCTCTACTTAAACACAAATGTGCAATTTTGAATATATAGCATTCCTTTTAATGTTCACAGGTGGCTAAACCCATTGTTTAAAATTGGTCATAAACGGAGACTGGAAGAAGATGATATGTATTCAGTGCTTCCAGAAGATCGCTCAAAGCACCTTGGAGAAGAGCTGCAAGGGTAAGGCAAGAGGCAGTGAAAAGAAGGGTAACGAAGACGAGACTTTTGTGTGTGTGGCTTGTGGCTTGGAGTGGGTTTGCCTTCCTGGATCCCTTGATTGCCTTCATTCTCCTAGCATTGTACACCTCCCTTCAGTCTGTCCTGGCTTGACCTGTCTTGGTCACCTGTGTTTTCTGTGCTTACTCATTGTAGAGCCAGCACCACAGGCCCTAGATGTTCAAGATCTGTCCCCCAGGGGTGACACCCCCAGAGCAGGTATGTGCCTTCTCTGGCTACTAAGGCTGCTGTAAATCTAGCAAAGCTCAGCAGTAACTTGTTTCCCTGAGACTGTTTCCCCAGAGGTCTATTTTTCTGGTGTGACAGAGTCTGCATCATACATCGTTTTTGGGGTCCCTAGGGACAATTAGCCAGTGTTTGTGCGACAGCCTCAGAATAACCCTGTAATTAACGCTTGTCTGTCCTGTTGTTGCTTCCCTGTTTCACTCTGTGGCAGTGCATACAATTTGCTGACCCAGCTTTTGTCTCATTGTAGGTACTGGGATAAAGAAGTGTTCAGAGCGGAGAAGGATGCACGGAAGCCTTCCTTAACTAAGGCCATCATAAAGTGTTACTGGAAATCTTACTTAGTTTTGGGAATTTTTACATTAATCGAGGTAAATATTTTTGGGAAATGGATGGGAACCAGCAGGGAGAAGAGGCCAGATTTGTGTGTGTGTGTGTGTGTGTGTGTGTGTGTGTGTGTGTGTGTGTGTGTGAGAGAGAGAGAGAGAGAGAGAGAGAGAGAGAGAGAGAGAGAGAGAGAGAGCCGGGGTCTCCCTATAGCCCCAGCTGGCCTGGAAGGCTTGAATCTTCTTCTTCTTCTTTTTTTTAGAGACGGGGTCTCCCTATAGCCCCAGCTGGCCTGGAACTTGTTATGTAGACCAGGCTGGCCTTGAACTCACAGAGCTCTACCTGCCTCTGCTAGATTAAAGGCGAGTGCTGGGATTAAAGGTATGCACCACCATGCCTAGTGCCATATCAGTTTTGAAAGTGTGTAGAGGTCTAGAAAGAAGTCTGATATAGTCCATCAGTTGTAAATGTCTCTAGAAAGGTGAATACTTAATTGACTGAAGCTCAAACACATTACTGTTTCTTCTTTTAACTAATTAAAATCCAGTATCACAGAAGGCTGGCCCTGTTTTATACCACGCTGACTGTGTTGGTGCTCAGTCAATGTTGTAAATGCTGAATCGTCTTTGATCACTCATGAGGTGACATGCCCTGTGGTTTGAAGGAAGTACATTTGGGTCTGAGCTCAGAATAACCAGTGCCTGACAAGTAACTGTTAACTTCATCATCCAAATCTGATAGATGCTTCCCCAGGCGGCCATTGTCAGTTCTCTTCTCCCCGGTGAACAGAATTGGGGCCATGTGTTTGGACCAACTGTGATTTCCTAGAGGCCAGAACTCGCTGGAGCTCTGCATTTACCTTCTTCCCAGTGTCTGGGCACTGAGAGCTGTACTGGCTCTGGGCAGGAAGTCCAACTTCAAGTCCTTCTGTGCCACTCATTCTGGGTTTTGTTACAGGGACAGATTGCTGGCTGAAGGTGGTGTGCTTATAGCCTGGCATTGCAGAAAGGGTACAAGTGGGCATTCAGTGGAAAAACAAAGATGGAAAGTCATGAGGCCCTTTAGGGTCCTCCAGTAATACAGTCTTCTTCCCAGGACACAGTGCCAGGTAGCCTGCCTATGCTGCAGGGGATGATGACAGTCTGACCGGGTGGCTTGTGCCCTTGGTGGTATCTTTTCTAAAATTATTTTTATTTATGTGTATGTCTGTGTGTGTGAATGCCATGTTCGTGTGGGTACCCAAGGAGGCAAGAAGAGGGTATTGAACCCTCTTGGACTGTTATTAATTCCATCTGGGTTATGGATTGTGAGCCTCCTGATGTGGATTCTGGGAACCAAACTCTGGCCCTGTGGAAGAACAGCAAGCACTCTTAACCTCTGAGCCATCCCTCCAGCTTCCCTTGGTAGCATCTCCAGCTGCTTTAAGTACAGCTGCCTTCCACAGAAGAGTGGCTTTTAATGAGGTAGGGTAGGGAGTTATCACATGTGCATTTGGTGGGATGAGATGAATGACTAGTTGATTTGAAGCAGGAGAGTAGGCTCCCCCTTATCACACCCTGTGAGTGTTGAAGAGTGAACAGGCTGTGCTCTGTGCCACTGGAGAAAGGTCAGGGAAGTTGGACGTGACAGGTGCAGATGGACTTGGGAGATTGACCTTCTCATAGTGGCAAGGGTGTGTTGATTCATGTGCCAGAAGGTAAGGGCTGCCCTTGGAGAGGGTACTTCCCACTGCCTGGAGGCCATTGTAGCTTGGTAAAGGACAGGGTGATGATGCAGGCCAGTGGGAGCGAGTTGAGGGTGGCAGAGAGTTCATGTACCCCTCAGACGTCTCTATTTTTTTTACTTGTGCTACGTGTTCTAATGATGTTGTTTGTTGTTGTTTGTTTGGGGTTTTTTGTGTTTTTGAGACAGGGTCTCCTTATAGCCCCAGCTGACCTGGAACTTGCTATGTAGACCAGGCTGGCCTTGAACTTACAGAGATCTGCCTGTCTCTGCCTCCCAAGTGCTAGGATTAAAGGTGTGAGCTACCACCATACCTGGACTGTTGATGGTGTTTTTACATGGTCCCAGTGAATCTTTTGAAATTAATAGCATGGCAAGTTTGCATCACTTAGCCTGCATGTGTGGAGTTTCCCATCTAGATGTGGCTATGCAGCCCCAGCTAGTACTCTAGGATTCTGCAGGGATCTCTGGAGCCTCTGTGTGTGCCTGAGGCTAAACAAGATGTCTAACAGGAATGAGTGGCCTCAGTGTGACTTCACACAGGTTGTGTGCCATTTCCTAGAGCATCTGCTACCTTGTTCTCTAGTTTACTTTTGTATCGAGGTACTTAACATGCTGGAAACAGTGTTCTTGAAGTGTGGTACATGGGTTGGGTTTGAACTGTTCTTCCTGTTCCAGGCTGCCCTCTTCTTGGGTGGGGTCTCTGAGCCCCTGATGGTGACCAGATCCCATTTCAGAATGAGTCTTGCTTAGTAGAATTTGGTAGATACAGAAACAGAGGTACAGACTGCAGAAGTTAGATGAGAGAGGATGACAACCAGGTTGTAGTGCTGGAGCATCAACGTCAATCTTGTCTAACTCTGGTAGTGCTTACTTCACGCAGGAGGGCTTAAGTTGGTGCAGCTCATAGAATGGTGTCTTTTAGGAGGCTGATTATTGGGTAGTCATGACAGAAAAGTGGTGCATGGAGAACCTGATAAACATAGAGGACCTACTCAGGATAGTAGCGTTTTTTGGTAGTACTGGTAGCTACTAGTGGTGGTAATCAGTACTAGCACCATCAGCAGCATGGTAGTATTCCCCAGGGGTAATAAGGGCAGTACGAGTAGGAACTACATGGTCAGTAGCAGCAGTGCTAGTAGCTTAGTCATAATAATACGTTTTTGAAAAATATTATGTACCAGGAACTATGAGTCCTTTACTTTATAATGTTACTTTTATTCCTTTGACTGACCCTGTGAGGTGAGAAGTAGAGTATTCTTGTTATCAGCAAGGCTGTGAGTGCCAAGTAGTTACATCGTGGGCCCAGGACCACCCAAAACCTGAGTGACAGACCTGAGTTTCTATCTCAGGCACTCTGATATGAGCCCAAACCCTCTAGACTAGTAGGTGGTCCAGGCTCATGTAATGTGTCTTGAAAACTTTGTCCTTAGCATCTCCAGGGACTATTGCTTGACCCTAGCCTAAGGATAATGATGCTAGGATGGCCTTGGAGTGGTGATGCATGAATTTGTCAGTTAGGATACAGTCCAAGTTTTGACATTCCCTGGTGTCAGAAAATCAAAGGCAGTGCTGGAAAGTCACTGTCACTGTCAGGGCAGCATGTGACAGTTTGTTCAGATGGACCAGGAGTCCTGTGGAAAGTTGTCTTTTACCTGCTACCACTCCAGAATGGCTGAGGTGGGACTGTCCCACACAACCAGGTTCTTCAGCATCCACTGCTAAGACACATTTCCACACAGCAACTGGCGTAGACTGTGGTGCTCTTGGATGGTAATGACACTGGGAGGACCTTGCAGGTCTGGGCAGAGGCTGAGTGCTCAGTTTTTATTGAGCCTATAGCCAGGATCCTGGAGTGTGTGCTATATCTGGGACCCCAGATCAACTGCTAACAATGATAGCTCTTCTGTTCTAGCATCTGATACATTGTCCTAGTTGCAGGGTGGACCCAGGTGTTAGGGATTAGCATAGCAGGCCAGGTGGTGCAATCCTGGTAGCTGATGTGCCTGGGCTTTCTGTGTTAGAATTCTTTGTACTGCGTCTAGACCATTTTCTTGTTGACTTTTGGTCGAAAATTGGATGTGGCTAAGTCTTTCCTTACATGACCTGGTGACCAATGTCAGATACTCACGTTCATTTTGTGTCTTTGACATGGTAACTGGCAGAACATTTAGTTCCAATGCAGTAGAGTTCAGGGAGCTAAGAGTCATCTGTGCTCAGCTAGGTAAACCTTTGGGATGTTTTTCTGTCAGCAAAAAGAAGACTGGCTTCCTATATAAATACTTATGCCTTCATGGACTTGCCTATCGATGAATGTTACTCCGGAGAGGTCAGAAAGAATTTCTTATGGGGAAGCTAGTGAGCTTCCTGCTACCTTTCAAAATTCACTTTTGGCACATACTTATTACTGAAATGAGTGGGAGGTTGTGGTGAGAGGTTGTGGTGAATCAGCCTGGGCTACATAAGGACTTTCGAGGCCAGCCTGGGTTATAGAGTGAAACCCTGTCTCAAAACAACAGAAAGTCATTTTCAGGTAGCGTTTGAGGTTTTGTATTAGAACCTTAGCTGCACCCACATTCAGTTAGCCCAATCTAGAAACTTCCTTATGGACACACCCAGTAGTTTGTCTCCTGAGTGATTTTTATATCCAATCAAGTTAATGATCAATATTAACCATCACAGATTTCTGGTCATTAAAGCCAGCTAGTGAGCCAGACAGGATGAACATTAGTGTAATAATTGGTTTTATGGAGCAGTTTCTCTTTTTCTGATCTTGTCTCTGTGCTGTTTGTTGGTCTTTTAAGGTTTTAGATCTAGTAGAAGATTTGAACTCAGTGTGGCAGTTTGTACAAAGTAGATGTGTTTCCTTGGTTACCTGAAACTCCTATGTACCTATGGAACTCCTCTCGTGAACGAAACACCTGAACAGTATCTCTGTGACTCTTAAGCTGTGTGTGCACTAACCACACCAGCAGTAGGCCCTTCCCTGGGTGCTGATGGAGGCATCGGCAGGAAGACTTGTGGTAATGCTAGTTCCAGGGGAGACTTTGGGTTGGGATTTCAAAGCAGTGCCCTGTCTCATCCTGTGAGAACTGAGGATTGATTGTCATGTCTAGAGAAACAAGTATAGGGGTGATTGTGAAAATCCACTGTTGCTGGCCAGTGTTAGCCAGAGCAGAGTAGGCTTCAAATTCCTCACACACCTGTCTCTGGTGTGCACCTCAAGGGAAGTGCCATTGGGACAGAAGGGAGTCCTATCTGGAGCCCTCGCTGCAAAGAAAACCAGCATGGGAGAGAGTCTGCACAGGCTGACTGTCATCCTGGCTTTGGTCTTTGAGACATGGGTGTTTCGCCTGCTGGAGTGTGAAGTTGGGAGAGCTATCTGTGCTCACCTAGCTGTGGTCCATGCATGGCAGGGCCTGGGTTAGATCTTACTCTCTTGATCTTTGGCAAAGAGACCTACTTGGAACCTGCCAGGTTCATCTGTTGACTTGGCCCTTGACCAAGGCTTTTGCTCTGATTGTTTATAGTCCAGGTAGAAGCTGATGTCTGAGACAATCTTCACTATGGAATGCAGCTCTCAGGCAGGAGGTCAACAGTCCAAGTTCCATGGTTGTATCTGGGCCTTGACTTAGAGCTGATTCCCTGAGTGGTACCCAGGGTCTTTGCATCTCCCAGCTTTCTTCTAAGTGCCTCTCACCTCCTGTTCATCCCAGGAGGCCAAGGAATAGATACCATGGGGATGATGACCCAGTAAGGGAGAAGTGGAGGGAGCATTGAGAAAGGCAGGCATGGTCTGCTCTGTGTGCCCCGTGGGTTCTTGGGTGCCTTGCATTCACCTAGTAATGTTCACACTGATGAGTCTGAGTCAGAAACAAGGGAAAATACTTTTAACTCTGTTTTTTTAAAAAAGTCAGAGGAGCAGGTGATTTGGAAACAGATGGCATTTGTAATGGTAGAAAACCCAGACCAGTCACCAAACACTATGTTCAGATGTGAACCTTCAAATCACTTCCAGGGAAACATGGCATTTATAAATGAGTTTGCTCAAGGCTCTATTCTATTGTGATTACATATTAAGCTGCAATGGGACTTTGAAAGCCTTTTGTGAAAGCTGCTGTCTTAGCCACTAAAAATGATGTTTGCGGGGCTGGACAGATGGCTCAGTGGTTAAGAACACTGGTTGTTCTTATAGAAGACCCGGGTTCAAATCCCAGCACTCACATGGCAGCTAACAACTGTCCATAACTCCAGTCCCAGGGGATCTGACAGCCTCTTCTGACCTCCTCGGGCATTGCACAACATGGTTGTGCTTACTTATATGCACGCAATATACACATACACATAAAAATAATAATTTTTTTTAAAAAGCTTAGAAATGATATTTCCTCAAGCCTTTTAATTTAATTTAATTTAATTTTTTAACCTTTTGTGGTGCTGAGGATTAAACCCAGAGTCCTGTGCATGCCAGATACTCACGCTGCCTCTGAGCTCCACCTCAGCTTCTCTGGACTTTTATGTAACAAAAGCTGTCATTGTTGACACTTGGCCTTTGCTTTCAGCTGGCATGGCTCATTTGGTTATCCCCAGAGCTCCTCTGAGGTAGACAGGGTAGATTTCCAGGGGGTATCTGACATACTTAGGATCATGTGACTTGTAGGTGAGTCTGGCTTTTAAAGCAAAATGTGCTTATTTCTAGACGTCTGCTTTCAGGAATCCTCCAAGGTAAGGGAGCTCAGGCCCTACCTACCCCATCCATGGAATCTGCATCTATTTATCAGTAGATTTTGCATGTCAGTGGGTGTCCTAGTTTGTTTCTCCATTGCTGTGACAAAACACTCTGACCAGTACCAACTTGGGGAGGAAAGGGTTTATTCAGCTTACAACTCCCAGGTCGCAGTTCATCAGGGAGCCCAAGGTAGGAACTCAGGGCAGGAACCTGGAAGCAGGAGCTGGAGCACAGGCCATGGAGGAGCGCTGCTTACTGGCTTGCTCCCCTGACCCCTGCTCAGCTTCCTCTCTTATCCAACCCACAGTGGGCTGGGCCCTCCCACATCACTGAACAATCAAGAAAATACCACACAGACATGGCCACAGACCAGTCCAATGGAGGCAATTTGACACTAAAGCTATCCAGCAGAGTGGGTTTGTATACCTCCCTGGAGGTCTAATGGTGTAGTCAGTCTGGAAGACCCCAATTCAGCAATCTCTGAATTGGTGGTGATACATTCTCCTGGTCCATTATATTCCTTATCTCTGCTCTTTCTCTACCCCACCTTTGGCTCTTGTTCCCTCATTCCTCAAGTTTACTGCCTACTCCTTTCTCCCACAGACTTATTCTTTTCTGTTTATGGGTTTCACTCCAGCATGATATTCTTTGATTGCTTGTTCTGTTTCCTGTGCTTTCTTTCCATGTCACAGATTAGGGATTATAGATTTGGGCACAAAGTGTCTCAGGTCCTAGAGGAAGGTGAAGGCTGCCCCATGCCCACTGGGGGCAATGTCCCACCAAGCACTGTAGTAAGTTATTCTGCAGAGCAAAGCGGTAGGCCCCACTGTCAGGTGCTGTATGAGGCTGAGTAGCAAATGCTCCCTTGGGAAATACCTGCCTTCCAGGACTCAGAGACTCTGGCATGGGCATGTCTAACCCACAGACCACATACCACATGTGGCTCAGAATAGCTGTGCATACGGCCAACGCAAAATTGTAAACTTTGTTAAGGTACTAAGATTTTTGTTCTTTTTTGGCGGGGGGGGGCTTGGGTGGGAGTTAACTCAATTGTGTGGTTATAAGCATGAAGTATGTAGATGACAATGGGGCTCAGAAGAGCCAAAAGGTTGGACACTGTCTGGCAGAACCTTGAGCAATGGGGCCTTGAGGGATCATCCCGGACACTAATAGTGCCATGAGATTTCACTTGAGAATTCTGGTGAAAGAAAAAGATCCTGTTCTTCGTTCTTTTGTGACAGACTTCTTAGGCAGGGCAGAAGAACGCTGTCCAAGATATTCAAGATGGAAGGTGTGACTTTTTAAATTTCAACAGCAGGGATTTGCTGTGTTATTCAGGCCAGCCCCAAAGTCCATCTGCCTCTGCCTCCCTGGTTCTGGGATTATAAGCATGTACCACTATATACCCAGCTAACTTTTAAACTTTCCCTCCCAATGCTCAGAAAGCTGTTCATTTAGTTGTAAGTTTGATAATGAGTATTTTTGTAGTAGTTTATTTCTTAGCAGGTGAGGATTAGGGTTAGGGAATGGATGGGTCTACAGGAGGAGGGGTAAGTATAGGCCACAAACTGTTGTTACTCATTATGAACCTGCTGTCTGTTCATAATTTCATTGTTAGATGCTGTATCCCAACTGGAACATTTTAATTAGATAATGGTGATTTGACTAGCTTTGGTTACCTCTTTTCTTTGTATTTGCTAGTACGTCAATATTTTCTCTGAAGGGGGGCATTACTCCTGCTTTCTGTGTTTGAGTCATATCCTGTCAGGAGAATTGTGCAGCAGGCAAATGACGCTCCGTGATTGCATATGGAGTCTGAGGTGCACATATACTAACTAGGTACCATTTGGTTGGGATGAAAGGTGTGTTAGCTTTTTATTATTTTCCTTCTCCTTCCCTGTTAGATGTGGGTTCCTCACTTCACATAGACAGAAAACAGCTGTCACACCTGTTAGCTGTTTACTTGTCTCGGCTACTTAAAAGGAAAAGCTTGTTCAAAGTCAAGTTCTTGAAAGATCTCCAAACTTGTCATTTTGTCCTTTGAGAAGGAGGAAATGGTGTGGAGGACTTATGTGTTTATATTTAGTGACTTGGATTCTCAGTGACTGATTGTCTTTGATAGGGGCAGATCCCTTAAAAGGTTTTTCAGGGAGGAAGCGGCTTATGGGGCGGAGCATCCATGTGGCAGGGAGAGGCCTAGGAACAAGTCAGGAAACAGCTCTTTACCTTTTGTGCACCAAGGGCTCAGACACTGAACTCTTGCTCTGTCCTTATTTGAAAATGCACCCCCACCCAACTCCAGAAGGTGAACCCCAGAGCCTTCCAGCTCATTGGAGGAGTTTAGTTTTTTTAGAGAATAAATGGTTAGTAATACTGGTTTATAAAGCACCTAACAATATAAGACTGTAGAAAATCACTCATGCTGTCACCTTTTAGTTCAATAGGTGCCGTATTTAATTTTTGATTCCAGGGTAGTCCAGCTTTTAAGAGCACTGACTGCTCTTGAGAGGACCGGGGTTCAGTTCCCAGCACCCACATAGCAGCTAACAATCATGTCTAACTCCAGTTCCAGGGAATCTGATGCATCTTTTGAACCTCCACAGGCATTGTATGACATGGGTGCCCTTACATACATGCATGCAAAACACTCATACACATAAGGTAAAAATAAATAATTTTTAAAAATTGTTTAATTTTCAATTCCAGACTGCTTGAGTGATGGTGACCATATTTCTGGGCACATCTCAGGGTCTATCAGGTATAGACATACTGCAGCTGTGCTCTTGGGGACTTCATAAGCCTGGCTTCTTTTCAACACATCCCATAGAAATAGGACCCTACCCTGTTGCCTGGGATGTACCAACATGTTGGGCTGAGAAAGACCGAAAGGTTCTATTTTCTGATCTATGTTTGTGCAAGTATCTCAGCTGATAAAGATGGGGTCGGCTGGAGGAGGTTCATGAGTGTGCTTCTAGCCTACTCAAGTCTCAAGCCTCTCTCAAGTGAACCACCTTCATTTCCTGTCGGACTGGATGGGATATTGAGAGTTCTAGAGCTGGCCTGTCAGCATTCAGGCACATTCCTTACTCTTTTCCTTTTTGACCACTTTTATTCATTTTCAGCAAGGCATGTGACAGCTTGTCAAATGTATTTTTAAGCACTGATACTAACGTTTATTGAGCATCCACAGTGAACCAAGCATGGTCTACTGATGTGTTATTGTCTTTGAACTTGTAATTTTGACTTCAGATTAGAATAGTTCTTTGCTTTCTTACAGCCAAAAGCACTTTTCCTTTAAGTCAGGATGAATGCCATATGTGGTCAAGATACCTTTTAATAGCCAGGTGTGGTGGCATATACCTTTGATCCCAGCACTCTGGAGGCAGAAGCAAGTAGATCTCTGTACGATAGAGGCCAGCCTGGTCTGCATAGCCAGGTTCTAGGCCAGCTGGGGCAACATGGAGACCCTGTCTCAAAAAGAACCGCCCCCCCCAAAACCCCTTTTAAATGTGTTAATAAAAGTAAAATTTGTATTGAGAAAAATTGATGTGGTTGGTGTTTCTAATAAATGCTTTTTTTCCCTCTCTTTCAGGAAGGCACCAAAGTAGTTCAGCCCATATTTTTGGGAAAAATCATTAATTATTTTGAGGACTATAATCCCACCAATACTGTGGCTTTGCACAAAGCTTATGGCTATGCCACTGTGCTGACAGTCTGCACACTTATTCTGGCAATACTGCATCACTTATATTTTTACCATGTACAGTGTGCTGGAATGAGGCTGAGGATAGCCATGTGCCACATGATTTACCGGAAGGTAAGTGACATTGACTCTCAAAACCTACATTGCCTCTGAAGTATAAGAAGCATTTAGGGAAAGTTGTTTGTAAATTAGAAATTATGTAAACACCTGGGCGTGGTGGCATTAGCCTGAGGATCACTAGTTCAAGGCCATCCCAGACTACACCAAAACCCTGTCTCAAAACAACAGACAGTAACACACCAAAAAGATATAGATAGAATTATTTAAACCACATTAGAGAAGCTTGTTTGTTTGCATTGGGCTCCCCCTCTTCCTCTTCCTCCTCCTCCTCCTCCCCTTTCTCCTCCTCTTCATCTTTCTCCTCCTTCTCAACCTTTCCCCATTATAAGATGAAAGTTTCCTATTGCTATGTGGTTGCTTATAACACCAGGCAAATGACTGCCTTTATAATGAAATCTAGTTTAGAAAACAAATGTAGAATTGGTTTTCCGTATTTTCACAGATAAAGCTTGTGGTTATATCTCTGGACATTTTTTTGTTGTTCATTAAAATCTTCATTGACATCAGAGTTGTACTTAATAGTGAATGTCAATGAAATGGGATCATTAACATTCAATCTAGGAGAAAAGAATGTCTCTGAGAAAGGAATTATAGTTTTTAGATGAATTGCTTAATTATATTCAACCAAATTTTGTCAAGTAAAGAAAAACTTGAATGAAATCCATGCCAAATACAGGCTGTCTTTATGATGTTAAAGCTAGCTTTGAGTATTTTTTAATGGTTAAGGAAATAGTTGTATGTCTTAGAATAACACATTGCTTTTAGACTTTTTTTTAGTAATTTTTTTGTTTTGGTTTGGTTTTTGGTTTTTTTTGAGACAGGGTCTCCTTGTAGCTCCAGCTAGTTTGGAACTTGCCATGTAGACCAGGCTGGCCTGGATCTCATAGAGATCCACCTGCCTCTACCACCTGAGTGCTGGGATTAAAGGCATGCACCACTACACCTAGCTATTTGTTTTTTGAGGCAGGTTCTCCCTATAGTCCCAGTTGGCCTGGAATTCACTATGTAAACCAGGCTGACCTTGATTTCACAGAGATCCACCTGCCTCTGCCTCCCAAGCACTGGGATTAAAGGTGTCACCATGCCCAGCTTTTAAAAATAATTTTGGAGAAAACTTAAGTTTGCAAGCTGTTTGTCATTCAGATTTTTCGGGGGGTATAGTGAAGTTTATTGATACTTGAGAGTAGGGCTCTCTAAGCCCCTCTTCTTTTTCTGGGGATCTCAGATGGAAACTTTGTAGGAGGAGATACTCAGTGTGTTGAGGGCTAAGTTGGGGCAGAGACTTCCCAAGCTGAGGGCCTCTGTCTTCCTCGTGCTGAAATGTTCTTGCTGGGGTGAGTTGTTCAGAGCTTATTAACTCCTTGGAGGTCATGTGGACCATTAAGTCTTAACATACTGTTGCTGTAGTCAAATTTGTTGTCATACCAGGAATTGAGCTTGACAAAGTAGTTGCTGAGGTCAATGCCAGCCCCAGCATCAAAGGTAGAAGAATGGGTATTACTGTTAAAGTCATAGGAGATGACCTGGTCCTCACTATAATCCAGGGTTCCCTTCAGTGGGCCCTTCGATGCCTGTTTCACCACCTTCTTGAGGTCGTCATATTTGGCAGCTTTCTCCAGGCAGCAGGTCAGATCCATGATGGACACATCGGGGAAACAGGGAAGGCCATTGCGCTTCCTGTTCAGCTCTGGGATGACCTTGCCCAGAGCCTTGGCAGTGTCAGTGGATGCAGGAACCATCAGTTTCCCAGAGGGGCCATCCACAGTCTTCTGGGTAGCTATGATGATATGAACTGTGGTCATGCGTTTCCCAACAATGCCAAATTTGTCATGGACAGCCTTGGCCAGGGGGGCTAAGCAGTTGGTGGTACAGGAGGCATTGCTGGCAATCTTGAGGGAGTTGTTGTACTTCTTGTGGTTCATACCCATAACAAACATGGGGATATCAGCAGAAGCGGCAGAGATGATGACCCTTTTGCCTCTATCCTTCAAGTGGACCCAGGCCTTCTCAATGGTAGTGAAGATACCAGTAGACTCCATTAAATACTCGGCACCAGCATCCCCCCCTTTTGATGGTGTGATCTCACTCCTGGAAGATGAAGATGGCCTTCCCATTGATGACACGGTTCTTGTTCTCAGCCTTGACTATGGTGTGGAACTCACTGTGGGCAGAATCATACTGAAACATGTAGACTATGTAGTTGAGGTCAATGAAAGGGTGACTGGTGACAACAATATCTACTTTGCCAGAGTTGAAGGCAGCCCTGGTGACCAGGTGCCCAATCAGGCCAAATCCTCTCACTCCAGCGTGTCTGGGGACAAAGCTGGCACTGCACAAAATGTGTAATTATCACTGGAATGGGGAAGAACGGAGAGTTAAAAAATTTTATGTGTTTTCTCTTCCTTCTACTGCTGGTTTTTTTTTGGTCTTTTTGAGACAGGGTCTCCCTGTAACCCCAGCTGTCCTGGAACTCACTATGTAGACCAGGCTGGCCTTGAACTCACAGAGATCCACCTGCCTCTGCCTCTCGAGTGCTGGGATTAAAGGCATGCACCACCATGACCAGCTAACTTTATTTTTTAAAAATTGTTATTTAAAAATAACAGCATACAACTCATTGCCTGGCACCTTTTCTACCTTTTGATTCCTTTGGAGTGACTGTGGATTGAGCATCATTTTCTCAGTAAATGCAGTTTCTCTTGCATGATGCCTTTGAGCACTTGTACTTTCCTTGGAGTTATGTGCTTTTTGGAGGCATGGCATCTTAGGCTCTATTTTAAGCTCCAGAGAATATGCTGTTTTCTTCATCTGTGACATGGAAATGGTAATAGTGTCTGTAGGCTCTAATCAAGGGGTCTACATCATCATTACCATCATCAGTCTGTTGCATACCCTTCAACTACATAGAAGAGCCCTCAAGTTTCTCTATAAATTGGCTAGGTTTTCATCTTTCTAGATGTTTAGTTCCCTGAACACATAGGACATTGCATTAGCACTGCATGCTGGATACCTTAATCACAGGAGTCAGGTGTAAGGTGCCAGTTAGGCAAACAAAGCTCTTGCACATGTGAGTTCACCTGTTTTCTTTCTCTTTCCACTAATGCTTTGGAATTAGCCTGGGAAATCTGATCTAGCTGGTAGATTTGATCACCTGAATGTAAACATCTCTCAAAGGTATTAATTTGTTGACATGATTATCCCAGAAGAATCTCTTTTTATGAAGTCAAGAATTGCTTGGGTCAAACCATAATCTTAACCTGAAATTCCAGAAATGTGAGATGAATTTCCTCTTGCCTGCTTTGTGTCTGGAAATATACAGAGGTGAAGTAATAGAATGCGTCTTTATCACACAAGTACTGTTTTTGTGGAACAGAAGCTGATGCTGCAGTGTGGTTCTAGAAGGTTCTTCTGCAAACATGGTGTTCATGCCCAGCCTCACTGCCCATCCCAGGAGAGATCAGGTTGGGTGTTATAAATGGAATGGCTGCTGAGCTCATCACTTTAGTGAGTGGTCTTGAATAATCTTGTGGGATAGATCATATATAAAAATGACTTGTTGACAGAGAGATGACTCCATGGATCGAGTGCTTTCTGTGTATGGACTGGCAGTCAGATCTCTAGCACACATGCAAAAGCCTGGTGGTCGTGTTAGCCCAGCCTGCCTGTAACCTCAGCTCTTGGCTAGGGAGACAGGCTTCCCTAGGGCAAGCTGCCTAGCTAGCCTTGCTGAGTAGGCAAGCTCTGGGTTCAGTGAGAGACAGACCCCACCTTAGTAAATGAAAACAACTGACACCAACCTCTTTGACCTCCACACCTATGTGTGCGTACCCACACAGACATATGCAGCCACACATGTGAACATACATATGCATACACACATACCACATACATATATACATGCATAGAAAGACTTGTCATTTATTTAACTTCATGGCTTTAATGAAGTTATTATTGACTTTTGACCACTAATTTCTAAATTATAGTCAAATATGCATAGCATAAAGCTTACCAGGTAACTTTGAAACGCATAGTTTGGTGACATTAATTGCATTCACTATTCTGCTGCCATCGCCACCATCCATCTCCATAACTTTCTCATCTTCCCAAACTGAAGGTCTGCATCCATTAAACACTAGGCCTGCATTCCCGCCTTCCTCTAGCCAGAACCATTTACTTCCTACCTATTAATTGGACTGGTCTAGGCTCTACATATGACAGCATTTGTCCTTTTGTTTCTGGCTTCATGTCACATAATGTCTTTGGGATTTATATACGTTGTATAGTATGTCACAATTTAATTCTTTTTAAGACTCTATAGTATTCTATTACATACATGTGCCACATTTGGTTTATATGTGTATCTCTTGGTAGATGCTTGGGCTACTGTGGATAATGCTATTCTCAACATGGGTGGATGGATATCTGAGTCCCTGAATTCATTTCTTTTAATTACAAACCCAGAAGTAGGATTACTGGGTCCTGTGGGAGTTCTGTCTTTGAGAAACTTCCCTTTGGTTTTCCACAGCAGCTGTATTAGTTTATGTTTCTACTTCATCATCGGTTTTTCTGCTTAATTTGAGTAGTGAATAAAGAACAAAAAGAATTTGTTGTGGAGGATAATGGGGTTTTTGTTTGTTTGTCTTGGTTTTTGAGAAAAGGTCTCCCTCCATAGCTAGCCTGGAGCTCTCTCTGTAGACCAGACTGGCTTCTATCTTACAGAGATCCACTTGCCTCTGCTCCTGAGTGCTGGGATTAAAGACATGTACCACCATGAACAGCCTTTTATTTTTTTTTTCCTAATTTTTTTTCCTAATGATTCCATGTGGGATGAGTTAGACTCTCAGTGTAGTTGTGAGTTTTTGTTACTGTTTTGTTTTTAATTTATTGTGTGTATGTGTGTATGTGTGGTGTGCCTAGTCTTCACTTTACTTTAGGATTACTTGGAAGGAAAATTTGGGGAGAGTCTTGTCTCTGTTTCAACTTCTAAGGTGGGTTGACTGCAAATATTCCAGCTCCTTCTTATGACTTATAGTACTCTGCCTTCCAAGAATATATTTAATGATGTTTATGTTCAATGGATTGAGAATATGGGTAATAGATCTGTTCAGAGGACTGGGGGAAAGGCAGTTGGTAGAAAGTTTTGTCAGTGTCTGAGCCCTGTGATGCTGTATTTGTGATTCTCAGAAGTTGATTTTGTTTTTAATTTAAAGCTGATTGTAATTTAGTTGAGACTATATTGCCTTATACTTAGATTGGACAGTGTGAAATTACAGATCTTCAATTGCCTTGGGCTTTGCAAGCCAGCAGTTTCATATGACTCAATCTGATATTTTGTCTATTGGTTTGTGGGTAGGTCTTCTTCCTGAAGTAGTGTAAGGAGGATCATAAGAATGTGATCAAAGTGAAACCATGTGGTATTTCTAGAAATAGAACTTCCTTGGAAATACGTGATTCTTTGGCTGGATTTTCTGTCCTGGTGGTATTCTCAAAATTTTGACAGGTAAAATGGGTTAGTAGTGCTTGCAACATTGTTGTGATGCTTAACATTTTTCTTCTAAGTCATTTAATATTTTATTTCTAATATGAACCTATATTTGACCTGGGTGTTTTGTGGAAAGTTAATCTAATCAAAGGACAGATTGTTAGTCTTCTTGCTTGCTAAGAAGAGCTAAGGAGCTGTTTTAAGCTCTGTGGTCAGAACTTTGAGTTAGCAAGGCAACAAGTTCCTTTTTTTTTAATTTTTTAAAACCTTTTTATTTTATGTGTATGAGTGCTATGCCTACATGTATGTAAGTGCACCCATGTTGTGCAATGCCCGTGGAGGCCAGAAAAGGGCATCAGATCCCCTGGAACTGGAGTTTTAGACGGTTGTTACCCTTCAGTGGGTGCTAGGAATCAAACTCAGGTCCTCTGCAAGAGTGGTCAATCCTCTTAACCACTGAGCCATCTCTCAGTTGAGTCATCTCTCCAGCCCCAAGTTCCTTTTTTAAAAAAAAAAAAAAAACTTAAAAAACTGTTATGTTTATGAGTGTCTTGCCTGCATGTATGTGAGCGCACCTGTATCATGCAATGCCCGTGGAAGTCAGAAGAGGGTATTGGATCCCCTGGAACTGAAGTTATGGACAGTTATTAGCTGCCCTGTGGGTGCTGGGAACCCAAGTCCTCTGCAGGAACAGCCAGTGCTCTTAACTACTGAGCCATCTCTCCAGCCCTAACAAGTTCCTTTTTTCAAAGGGAGATTTCTGCTGCACCTATGAATGGCATTTGCATCTCACCATCTGGTAACTCAGGAGCTGTGAGCTGCAGTGTGGCTACATACATACTGTATGTAGCTCAGTCATTCTTAAACCGTGCTGTGCATTGAATTCACATTAGGGGAACCTTTACACCCACATTGATGCTGGGTTCTGTCTGCAGACGTTCTTGTTTAATTGGCATGGGGGAATTTTAGAAGCTCCCGGGTGATACTAGTAAGCTTCACATAACACACTCAGCTTAACTCTGTAATGTGCCTCATGATCAGACTTCCCTGTGCTGTGGTATGTGGCTTATAGGTCTAATCCTCCTCAGTGGTGAATAGCACTGCTGGATTGCAGGTGTGTGCCTCAGTAATGCCCATTGTTCATCAGCACCAGTGAGTGTCAGTATCTGGGCTGGATCTCTAATGGAAGAGTGCTCAGTGTTGAATCAGGTGCCTGGGTAGTTGATGAAAGACACTGGTGGATCAGTACGAGTCTCTAGAGACTGTAAACCTGGGACTTTGAGAATGATCAGACTGGTATTTCAGTCCCAGTATTGCCCCTTGTTAAGCTGTAAAATTTCAGAGAATTATATTCATTTCTCCCAGCCTCAGTGATCCTTAAAATGAGAATAAAACAGACCTGCTTCATTGGATTGCCCTGTGCCCAGAATAAAGTAACCAGTAAAGCACTTGGTGTAGAAGATACATACTATTAATAGGCTGTTTGTGTTATTTCTAAAAGTGCAGCAGAGGCTCTGTGGTTGGACAGCTCTTGTGTGAGGCCCAGTTGTCCTTTTTCTAGCTGTCTGCCACAGTCAAACTGTTCTGAGCTTCAGTGTCCTCATTTGTAAAATGAAAATGATAATAGTACCCACCTCACATGTTTGTTAAGGATTACATGAGTCGGTCTGTGTAGGATAGTTAGGATAGTGCCTGACATTTAGTGAGCGTTCCAACCTTCCTATTATCTTTGTTATATTGGCACCTCATCACAGAAGGGTAGAGGACACATACCTAGGCAGATGGTGGTGAGGGTGCAAGTGTGTGGACTTCATGGCTTAGGGAACCATCCTGGTGATAGCTGGGAGTGGGATGGGGGTTAATGCCAGTAGAGCACGCTTTGGACAGTGTTGAGCTGGAAGGGTGGTAGGAAGAAGAATGAGGACAGTATTGGCCCAATATGGTATAAAAATTTAGGAGAGAGCTGGGGGCCAGCCAGAAAGGCACATTGGGCCCAGCTGATGAAGGACCCTGGTCATGAGCTTAAGGCAGGGTGGTAGTGGGTGTAGAGAATGGAGTGCATGGAATAGAGAGGTAGTGTGTTGATTTAGTTGACAGATGGTAGTCATTGACCTTTGAATAAGGAAATAAGTGATTGGGGTACTGATTTAGGAAAATTGATTTATCGGTAACTTCTACCTGTGAAGCCTCATGAAGATGTAATGGGCCTGTGTGGTGATACTGACCCTGGGGATGAAAAGAACTCTGATCTAAGAGTCTCCTATGGGCCATTCTTTGGGTCAGTCACACCACATTATTCATTTGGTGAAACTTCTAAGAAGTTCTTGGGATTGGCTCTTGATAGCAAATGAATGCAGTGGGTCATTGTAAGGAAACACTGACTTATCTAGCACAGCTGAAATGATCTAGTAACATGCAGAGTAAAGGTTTAATAAGTTAACAAAATGAGGGACTAGGGGATGACCCAGTTGGTGAAATGTTTGCTGCATAAGCACAAGGATCTGAGTTTGGATCCCCAACACCCATGTAAAAAGCTAGGCATGATGGCGAGCACCTGTAATCCTAGCACTGGGAAATCAGAGACAGGAGGATCCGTGGAGCTTGGTGGCCAGCATAGTCTTACTGAAGCAGTGAGCTCCAGTGTAACTCTGTCTCAAAACATAAGGTAGGGAGTGAGAAAGACACCCGACATTGACCTCTGGTCTCCACATACGTGTGAATATATGTGCACATGCACACTACACAGACACACAGTCACAGACACATGCACGCATGCACGCACGCACACACACACACACACAGACACACAGACACACAAAGTCAATAATGAGTTAGCATGCAGATTCTTTAATATCTGGTAATGTTCATGACAGTTGAGTAAAGGATGAGTTTTCTAAAGTGGGAAAACTTGTAGTTAGAGATTAATAGTTCTGAGAGGGATCTGCAAAGCCAATTATTATTGAAACCCAGGAGTTCCTTCAGCATTGCTGTTTTCTTGCTCAGTAATAATTTCTAGAAATTTCAGAGGAAATGCTCCAAACTCTATCATCATAAAATATTATTTTTACAGATTCTCTTCCAATCTTTATCCATCCACACACATTTTATACAGATACAATTTTATTGTGCATATAATCTGTATACAGTTTTGTCCCATATCAACTTTCCTCTTATCACCTCACTGACTTTGACAGTTCATCAAAGCATGTGCTTTCTAGTCCTAGGGTGAAAGCTGCCCATTTACATGATATGTGTCCTTGGCTCATGTTTTGAGGTGTGTACATCAAAACTCATCTTCAGATAGACTTTGGAGGGTTATCTATATACCCAAAGTTATCTTTAGATGGATTTGGGGGGTTCTTCTAAGTAGATGGCTGACCATAGCAAATGCACTGCACTGCTTCTTGGGTGCTGATTTCAGAGTAGCACTCTGGGAATATAGTAGGATTTTACTACTAGTCAGCTTCAAAGAAAATTGCTAATACATTTCTATAAAAATTCTCCATAAAATTATTGTATAATTGCACAAAAATTAGTATACTTAAATAAAACATTTGTGATTTGGAGATATGAAATGCTACTAAATATAGACAGTCTTCTGTTTTCGTATGACTAAAATTATTTTTTGCTTGACTGCTTTTAGTAAATTCAAGATTGTAGTTTACATATATAAAATACCGAGGTGTCTGAGTTTTGAAACACATATAGTACTGCTTTTCATTGAGATAGTGATAATGTTTTTGCTTAGAATATTCCTTTCTGCCACTTTCCTGCAGCCTTGCCTCCTCACCCCAGCTCCAGACCCCCATTAATTAAATTTCTGTCATCATAAATTAATTCTGTCTCTGATAAAGTAGAATAAATGGAATCACATAGCATATAACTTTGGACTATGTTTTTCTCCTCTGTACAGTGTTTCTGAGATTATTCCAAGCTGTCAAATATATTGATTATTATTTAATTTTCCTTTCTTTTTTTTGAGATAAAGTCTCACCTTGTAGTCCAGGCTCATCTTGAATCCATGGTGATCCTCCTGTCTCAGACTCCCAAGTTTTGAGATTATAGATGTAGCTACCACATCCAGTTAGCTGTTAATAATTTATTATTATTTTGTACTACTGATTATAGGATTCTGTCTTATGAAAACACCATAATTTATCCACTCCCTGATGGACTTATGGCTTGCTTTAGGCTTTGACTGTTAAAAGCAAAGCTGTTATCCACAGTCTTGTACATGTCCTCTGGTAGATACAGGCTTTTATTCTTTCAGGTAACCACCTCTGAGAGTGGAATTGCTGGGTTGTCTCATGAATGTGCTTACCTTTAGAAGGAACTGCTAAGCTTAAGAATACTGACTGTTCTTGCAGAAGACCCAGGTTCGAATCCCAGCACCTCCTTGGCAGCTAACAACTGTCCGTAACTCCAGTTCCAGGGGATCCGACAGCCTCTTCTGTCCTCTGCAGGCATTGCACAACACCGGTGCACTTACCTACATGCAGGCATAACACTCATATACGTAAAAATAAAAATAATAAATATTTTTTAAAAAAGAAGGAACTGCTACAATGATTCATTGTATTTCTTTTACATTCTCTGGTAGAGGTAAAGTAGACTCTCATGCTGTTAGTTTTTACTTCATTAATGAATGGCAATATTGTAGATCTTTTGCCCTTCTTTGCTATCCATAGCTTTATTTGGTGAAGAAATAGACACCCAGGGTTTTTCATCTATCCCCTTAGTAACAGTTTTCAGTGTTCTTCTGTAGCTCCAAGCATTCATTGGTGTGCTTCCTGAAGGAAATCCTTTGGTGTTCCCTTCTGGGTAGGTATGATAGCGGTAATGGCTTAGTTTTCTGGAAGGGTAGGCGTGTTGGATGTTGAGTTCTGGGTGAGTAGTCTATGGCCCCATCTCTACACTCGGAAGCTGTGGTCTGTGTTACCTGGCCTCCCTTGTTTCTACTAAGATGTCATTTATAGCCAGTCATTATCTGTATCTTTGTACTTAATGTTTCTATTTGCTTTGGCTAACATTTTAATAAGTTTTCTCATTTTTTACTGCCTTTTTTTTTTTTTTCTCAGAAGATTGATAATGGTCTCAGGTGTGATTTGCTTTGTGTTTGTTTTTTGGGATTTGCTAACCTTCTTGAATCTTGAATTTTCATAGATCAGAAAATATTTGGCTAGTAGGTTTTTTATTAATATTCTAGGTTCTTTTTTTCCTGTATTTTTGAGACAGGGTCTTCCTGTAGCCCCAGCTGGCCTGGAACTCACTAGACCTAGTTGGACTGAATCTCACAGAGACTGGCCTGCCTCTGCCTCCTGAGTTCTGGGATTAATGGTGTGTACCACCACACCTGGCTAATATTCTAAATTTTAAAATATATTTTTATTTAATTTATTTTTAGATTTAATATTTAAAGTTTTAAAATCAATTTTTATTAGCATTTAAAAGTGGGTTTCATTATGATAGTTTCATATATGTGTATCAGTGTAGTGTGCACGTATCCCTGCTTGTCATCAGTGTAGTGTGCACGTATCCCTACTTGTCATCAGTGTAGTGTGCACGTATCCCTACTTGTCACCCTCCCTTATCCTTAATCACTGTTTTTTAAAGTGGTTTTTTTTTTTTTTTTTGACTCATTCTTAGACTCTTGACTCTATTCTTTCTTTTTTGTCTGTTTTTTTGTTTTTGAGACAAGGTCTCCCCACAGTCCCAGCTATGTCAATGCTATGTAGACCAGGCTGGCCTGGATCTCATAGAGATCCACCTGTCTCTGCCTCTTGAATGCTGGATTGAAGGCACATGCTATTGCTCCCCATGACTCTTCTCTTTCTAAGACTCCTGTTACACACTTAGACCACTTTCCATTGTCTCATTTGTATCCATCTTATTATCTGTCACTTTCAGATTCCTAAGACCACCCAGTGATTATTTTACCATTTCAGTACTTTTTTCAGATCTAGACTATTATATTAGTCACTTTTCTGTTGCTGTGATAGAAACACCATGACTAAGGGAACTTATAAAAGGAAGAGTTTATTTAGCTTATGGTTCCAAAGGGGCAAGAAGCCGTCATGGCAGGGGGCCATGGCGGCAGAGGTGGCTGGAGTAGGAGCAGAAGCTAACCCCTCACATCTTCAGGTAGGCACAGGAAGTAGAGCATGACTGGAGATCCAGCAAGGCTTAAGAACTTACTAAGCCCACCCCCAGTGATGTGCTTCCTTCAGCATGGCCACACTTTCTAAGCGCTCCCAAAACAGCACCACCAACTGGGGACAAAATGTCCAAATACTTGGAGCCTCTGGGGGGCATTCACATTCAAACCTCCACAACTATCCACTGGGTTCTCCCTCTTTAAAAAAAAAAATTGTACTTTAAAAAAATATTTATTTAATAACCACATAATTAGAAGCATTTCATTACAACAGCATTGACATACTCAGTAACAATTTCCAGAACTAAGATGCATCTCTTTCAAAATTGGCTATAAATTTTTAGGTTTACAGTTGAATGAATGCAGTTA